AAGACTTATTTCCAAAAATAGCCTACAGGAACACTTGAATAAACTGGCAAAAGCATCCTAGATAGTGGTGCTGCATCTTGAGGCTTATTAGAAAACAAACCAATTATCTTTTCACATCTCTTTGGAAATAGCTCAGACAGGATCTTTAGATTTCATCCTTTGAGTGAGATGGGAAAGCACAGGTCGTTGGTGCTATTCAGGTGGAAGTTTAAATCTTCTAAAGCCAAAACCAGTAGGGGATAATCCTAGTAAATATTCCCTTGGTAAAATGGGTTCTAAGATGTTGTGAGTTCTTACTCCATGGTCTCTCAGGCCATGCACAGTGTACCTAGCCATTTGATAGCATTGTCACCAGCCTGGTGAAGAACTGGGAGCCCCCAGTCAAAGTTAGTCAGCAGGCACTCGTCAAGGATACGCAACAGTCTGAAGTTGACCACATCGTGGGTCGTTACAGAAACACCATTTGAAGAGATTGGCCGCACAATTACCCAGTCCTGTGCAAAACCAGTTCAGGAATGACCACAGGTGCCTTGGTCAAAACCGGATGGGCAGGTGGTTGAGTCAGTGACAAGAGCGTGATTAATGACAGTCAGCACTGCCCACTTGTTATGCCAAGCAGATTCCACAGTCATGTCCTGTGGTGGCATAAGTGACCAGAAAGGGCAACTATAAGACGTGCAAAGAGTTGAAGGCGGTTGGAGAGATCTGAGTACAGAGGCAAGTTGCTGTTCTCACTGATCTTGGCCAGGAGCCCCCCACAGTGAATATGAGATGGTGGTATGTTACTAAGTATTGGCAGCTATGGCAACAGAGTTGCATGTAAAGTCCCGGTAACAATGCACATAGCTTTTAAGTTTTACATCAAGCAGCCTTCTGAAACAAGCAACACCAGACAAGAGCACAGTACTCTACTGTTGAATAGCAGAGGTCAAGGGCTGATGTTCTAAGCGTCTGGGTGCTCACACCCCAGGTTGAGCTGGCCAGTTTTCTGAGCAAGTTGTTCCAAGGGCTAACTTTGGCTGATGTCTTCTTCAAGTGGTTGTGGTACATCAATGACCTATCCAGTGTCATGCTAAGGTAAACAGGGTTTGGGTTGCACTGCAGGCATTGGCCATTTAAGAAAATATTTAACTCATGGCATGGGCTTGCATTATGCAGATGAAATGTGATTGAAACTGGAAGAGCTTGGCTGCAGGTGTCAGACTACAGGTATAGGAGAGGAGTTGAGCTCATCGCTCTGGAACAGCTGTCAAAATATTCCCTACTCCAGCGGTTCTCAAAGTGGGTCACAACCTTGTTTTAATGGGGGCTCCAGTGCTGGCATGGTGGGGCTCAGGTTATAGGTCCCCTGCCCAGGGATGAAGCCCTTGGGCTTTGGCTGCCCCCTCTGCCTGTGGTGGTGGGGCTCAGGCTTTGCCCCCCTCCCACACCATCCAGGGTGGCAGGGCTCAGGCTACAGTACCCCCACCTGGGGTCATGTAGTAATTTTTGTTGTCAGAAGGGGATGGCGGAGCAATGAAGTTTAAGAACCTCTGCCCTACTCTATTCCCTAGCTTGCAGCTTTCTATCTTAGAGTTGGCAGCATTTCCAGGGGTGCTGTATGTACATAGTTTTGAAAAATGCTTTGAGAGTCTTCAGAATGAAAAGTGCTGTATGAATGTAAAACTTATTCTATCAAATGAAATTCATACTGTTTCCTATGGAATAGATGACTTTAAAGGGATAAGAGCAAGAGGTGTCACTGTTCCACACTCCTGAGGAGAACTTCTAGCCTAATGCTAACTATGAATCAATTATGAATATTTTTTCCTTTCACAGGCAATTGCTATTATGGAAGTAGCACACGGGAAAGATCATCCATACATTTCAGAGATCAAAAACGAATTCAAGGACCACTGAGCCTCTGAATCGATGCAGTCCCTCTACCTTTATTTAAAAGCCTTGCTAGCAAACCTACAAGAGTGCTTTGAAAATAGCTGTCCTATGAAAGCACTTCTGTAATATAAGTGGCATGACAAACGTGCATTTGGGCCTTGTATCTTGCATTCTCTAAGGTTTATGCAAAACATCTTGAGCCTTTGCAAATTCTCAAATGCTTTTTTAAAAAAAGAAATGGCATGGTTTCACACAGCTCATGCCTCCCATAGCTCATGTGCAGAAGACCAATTTTTTTCCCTCTACAAAGTTGAATGTATTAGCTGTGGAAGGTAAATAAGTGGTACATTGTCATGGCCCTAGTTGTTTGCTTCATGCATGCCCTAATTTTGTGACAAACGTTTTTACTCTGTAGAATTAAATATTGAAAGCAGCTGCTTTTCCTATATCCACTGTGTCCCGTACTTTTTTTTTTTTTAGGAGTTGGAATAAAATTGCTAGGAAGAGACATTTTCAATTTAAAAAACATTGAGCTTGACAACCCTGGCTCAGTGCATCGGTGCTGAATTGTAGGCTCCCACCCCAATCTTACTTCAACTCAGAGTGTCTGTAGGCACAGTAACAGCTTCTACAGAGGTAGCACATGTAGGCCTTTGTCTACGCAGGGGCATAAGCTGGAGTGCACCCTCTGTCACAGGTGTTAACCTAGCATGGGCCAGTTCCATGGGTTTGGAGGGCGATGACATTGGATTCTCCTTCACGCTGAACCCACAAGAGAAGGTGCCATAAATTGCTGCTATTATCCCTTAGCTATTTTGGAACCCTGGCTTCACAGGGTTCCATAGACTGTCTTAGGCTGGGGAGGGCCTAGAGCAGAGACACTGGCTGGGGGTAAGGTGAGCTGGTCTGAAGTGGAAGCACCTTGCCTTGTTAAAGAGAAGCCCTTTTGCATCCAGCAGATCACAGGGAGCTGCTGCCAGAACATCCCTGGCTGCTAGATGCTGAGTTGGAGACCAACTTGCACCCTCTACCCCATCTCCAGAAGAATCCAAAAGAAACTCAAACTGAAACACAGGGTTTGTTTTTAATGAGGATGGATGGGGGGGTTGGGGGGTTTGATTGGTCATCTCTCAGAATCCAGGGTTCTCCCTCTCCCTCTTAGTTACACATTTAAAGTCAATCAGGTATGGAGTTAAATTACATAACCACTGTACCATTGTTACAGCTTGCAGAGCAGGCATGAGAAAGCTGAGATGGTAATTATTTTGTAGCTGCACACCACCTACCCAGTCTGCTGCCTCAGTTTCCCCTCAGTTCCAGGGCTGATTGCCTGCCTTCATTCTCTACCCTGTGCAAGCAGGCTTGTTTCTCCAGTCCAGGAAAGACTAACCACACCAAGTTTTTCAAGTCCTTTCTGAAAGTCTACATGACAAAATTAAGTCTACCTAAATTAATCAGCTTATAACCACTGCAGCAATTAAAATTGCTTTTGCATGCCCACATTACACTCCATGTGCCAGTGGTGCATGTCCTCACCAGGAGCAGTCGCACTGATTTAACTGCTGATGTAAGCAACACAGCAGCTGAGGCTACAGTGACCTCAGTGCTACCTTGAGACTACGTCGACCTAAGAGGTGGAGTTAAGCCACAGTAGCAAGCGAGTTATACCAGTAGCAGTAGGAGCTACGTTTTAGTGTAGATGCTTACACTTAAGTCGATGCAAGCTGCCTTCATTGACAGAAAAATCCACAAAGTGATGCACACAAGGCAGGATGACACTCTACCTCCCCTCTCCACTGTTCTTGACTCTGAGCATGAGAATATTACACTAATCCAGGGTGACCACTTCCAACAGCTGCTACACTACCTCTCTTTGATAGGGCTTTCCAACCATAACTAGAATGATGAAAACCACTACCACTGTGTATAATCCTACCCCAAGCAGTGGAGTCAGTGGATGTCATAGAATTTTCTACTCTTCTTCCTTCCCTAAGGCCTTTGGTGTGCCAACCTAAGAAACATTGGAGGTGCTCAAATACTGCACTGAAGGGTGCAAGTTTAAAACCTTAAGCTAGACAGGAAGGAAAACAAGTGAATTTCCTTAGGGGAAAAAAAGTTTATTGCATACTATGAATACAAAGGATAGACAATCTTTTACAAAAAAAAAGCTTAGTGAGGCATGAGTCTCACATCTGAAAAGGCATATAGGAAACTATTTACACAAAGGCAGTGAAAGATGTCAAAAAGTTATTGCAGTCATCTAATGCTGAATAGTTCTTTTTATAAAGAGAAGAGAAACAGTGCAAAAATACTGTCAAAAGTAATCAGTTTTATACACAAGATAAAACTGATAAGCATAAGCTTATGTACTGATATGAAAAATATACATTAAAATATAAAATAGCATGCATAGTTTTTTTTAAAGACTTTCAATAGTATAAAATGAGTATGCCATTCATCTTGAATTAAAGGGGGGCGGAGGGGAATTGACCTCAATTGTCTACAAAATGTATACATACCATGAGGCTGAGAAATTGTTAAATCATTGTCTTGGACTTAACTGTAATGTACAGAGTTACAGAACAAATACAAAAGCAAGCATTGGAATACTGAAGTAAAATAGAACATCCAGTGATGTAAAACTAATTTAACATGTTATGTCATGTAACACATGTACCACACAATTATACATGTGTAAACTTTTTTCCTTTGAAAAATATCAACAGTAGGTAATCAATTCCTCTCCATTTCACTCGGACACCAATCCTCCTGAGCTGATTAGGACTCTTACCTCTATAGGGAGTGCTGAACTGGGGTCCTAGATAGGTGAATATTGACATTAAAATAAATTGCAAATTTTAAAGATTTGATTTGTTTTTAGAAATGTTAGTTTTATTTCCACTATTTCGAAATAGTGCTGGGATTGTTCAGTTAGGGCTGCTGGTATATTGCTAAATTTCCATTTGCTGCCAAGGTGCACAGTCCTGTAGTTCTTGTGCTTGTAAAGCACACAGTGAGAGTTGTATATGCATCAGATGCAGAAAAGCTATCCTTGGTGTTCAATGAAATACTGATCAACTGGCAAATGCATGGATAGGCTGGGGAATTCATAGTGGTTTCAGGTAGAGCATGTGATGGTTTTATTTGCTGGAAGAATTGGATAAATATAAATACTTACATTTTTGACACACATTGTCTGGTAAATAACAATTGACATCAAAACAAAGGTTAAACAAAACTTCCTAAAAGAATTTACCCTAAAGCCTCAAGCTTCTGAGTCCAGAATACATAGCAGCCAAGCCATTCCCTCCCATCAAATGAGCAGTCCAGTCTTGTTTCGCTGAAGTCAATATCTAAACTCATGAAAAATTCTAGGAGAAGTCAGGCCCTAGAAACTCCCATTGATGCCGTGGGGACTGCAGATGCTCTGCCTCATTCAGAATTTGGCCCAATGAGCCTGATCCTGTTGACGCTAGAGTCCATATCAGTGTTAGCAGGCTGACAAGCTCATTCAGGCCCGCTTTCACAAGGAGTATTGAAAATGAAATTTACAAATAATCCTCAGGTGGCGCCAGATTATGGCATCCTCACTCCCAATGAATAGCATCTTTGTTTACAAGAAATACCACTGATTCTAAATGGGTGCTGCCCTGGGACTATTCATAGAAGAAGATGCTATTTGGCATAAGCATTGGTCGCAGAATTTGACCCTAGACTCACTCACTTTTCCAATCAGTGCACAGGAAATTCCCTTGAGCAACTGCCATCAATGCTAGTATGTTCCTTTCCTGGGCATGTAGGTTGCAGATTCTTGATCTGACAACAACCAATTCGATCATAGTCCCACCCCCTGAGAAGCTTTGAGAGGCAGACTGTTGAATAAAGCTGTTATGGCCAGTAAGTCATGAATTTGCTTCTTTTCCCCACTGATAAAATGGCTCACAGTAAAGAGGGGAAGTTACCATGCCATCCTGAAAAGAGATCTATCAGAATTTTAACAAGTCAATGTGTGCTGCTGAGATTAAAGAAAGATTTTAAAAAACAAAACATACACTTTCTGTACTAGTTTTAAAAGATCTTCTCTGTGGAAGTACCTAGACTTAGCAACACATTTCCAACTTGTTCTACACTTCACAACTTGTGTTCCTGTCAATTTAGATGAAATGAGTAAAACTATGTTTTTAATTCTATAAATACTGAATGATACTTGGAGCTGGGACGACAGATAAATAAGCCACAGCTAAGGGGGCAGAAGCGTCCTTCAATGAAATTGGTTTAAATGTCTGGACTGTGTTAGTAATGTGAGCAGGTGCAATTAGTGAAAGAATAACCACAGCCTGCTGTCCTCTCAATCCAGATCAAAGCAAACAGCTGACCACTGTTAATGTAAGTGAAGTGAATGTATTTGTTCCACCTACAATACAAAGTTACATCAGGTTTAGTATGAAAGCCTTAAGACTATATTCCACTAACTCTGAAACCCTGTTTGGTGCTTAGGGACCTAGCCAGGGCCCAAGTGGATGTAACTCAGTGTCCAGACCATTGTATCAGACTGTGAAGCTAGGTATTCTTGCATGCAGAGTCTCACCCTACCCTGCCCTACTTGTGCCTGGTCACATGCCCATCTACCATTTATGTGCATGGCACAATGGCCCCAAATTCTGCAGCAGGTACCTTCAAATCACGTCATGTTCAGGGTTCCTGAAGAGACAGCACTCAGCTGCTGGCATGGCGGGTTGTGGCAGGTCTGCAGAGGGAAGTTGAGGCAGCCAGGAACAGAGCAGTGGAATGCAAACTTCAGAACTTATGGAGTTCTGATCAAACTATTTATGAGTGGATTCTAAATTTAGCAAAGCCATTTCTCCCATCCCTGACCTCTATGAAGTTGAGAGCATGAGCTGCCCATGAGCTGGGGAATTTGGCACTATGGAATTTGGGGTCAATGTTAACTATTAGCAGTTCAAAATGTTTAATATTAAACCAAAAAAGTTATGGCTGTTAAACAGTAACATTTTATCTAGAAAAAAAATGAATGCAGGCTTATTGATCTACTCAAGATTCCCTTTTATGAAGGAGATGAAGGAGCATAAGACATCAACAGGGATATAGCATGGGCTAGTATGTCAGATAGGAACTGGCAAGAGTTGGAAGAAGTCTATTTGGAATTAGTTTTCAGAATTGCTTCAAGTTGCTGTGCAGTTCAATTTGTGGGAGTTGGTGCTTTAAAAGTGGTTTCTTGCAAACTACCCATTGCCCATGCTTTGATGTTAATACAGCATGAAAACCACAAATATAACTAGAGTTTTCATTCTCCTTTTAAAAGCTCCAGATGCTAAAACTGTGGGAGAGAAATGAAAAGATACTGTTCCTTTAAGTTCCATGCTTTCATTTCTACTGTAACAAATGAAATTGGATAGAAAATGCTTATTCCTGTCCTTCCCTTAAGGTTAAGAAAATATGTTCCAAGGAACGTGGGTGTGATAAAGCTGAAGTCCTTCAGCATCAGAAGATTCAGTTTTTCCTCTACAATATGGGGTAGATTCACCTCTCTCAATTGTGAAACCCTGGCATGATGAAGTTACAGTTACAAATGGGACTAGAGAGGAAGCTCTGGAGACATACACCATCTCAGTTCATCTAAGATGCTAGCTGATCTAATCAAGATAAAATCTAGCAGAAAAAATACACTGAAGTCAGAAAAAAGGAAAAGTATAAAATTACCAAGCTTTCAATAAAAGGGAAAGAGTGAGTCACCTTGGACTCCAGCTACCATTTTAGTAACCGACTGAAAGTGGTTGTTATGTTACCATCTCTCTGGCTCATTAATAGGCACCTTTTGCTCATGGGAAAGGCATTTGGTGCCATTTTGTAATTAATTTTTTTAAAGAAACCTATAATGTGCCTTTGCACTACAAAAAGCCACATAATGACAACAGTGCTGAATTTTCTTCCTTTTTAACACAGCTATGTATGCTCTCTCATAACTTTTTTTCCTGTGCTTACAGAAGATCCAAAGCAGCAGTAGTCATATACATTTCAGCCAAGATATCTGACTAATACGACCCAGGAACAAATTATTTTCCCTTCTGATTTTCTACCTTTCAAATCCAAATGGAGCAATGGAACTTGACAGCGCTGAGTTCAAACTTAATTCATCATTAGGAAATTATTCAAAAAGCTATAACAAGATAACTAATGTAATACACTTTGCTTCAAGGTTTATTCCTTGGCCTGATTCCCAGATATAAAGCATCTCTGTGCAATTACCAGGCAGATGCCACTGAAAAGACTTTAAATGGTTGCTGCTAATTTAACAAGAGAGATGTTGGCACTAGCAGAAGGTATTAGAGAAAAACTAAAGATGACTGAAGAACAACTGATTCTTAAACATAATATCAAGATAGTTTAACTAGGCATATATTATTTCTCCTAACCATCCTTTGGTGACTTGAACTGAAACCTCTCTCTTCTTTTCTCACCATTATACCTTCACCACTTATTGTAAATGCCAAGCTACCAGCATAGACAACATCTGTAAGGCACTCAGACCCAGAGCCTCAAAGGTATTTATTTAGGTGCCTAATGGGAATTAAGTATCTAAAATACCTTTGAGGATCTGATCTGAGTGTCCTCCACTCCCAACTGAAGTTGAGGGCACTCAGAACCTTGTAGGAGTGAGCCTTTAACCATTTGTTTAAAACAATTACCTGGCCTTGGCAAACAGCTTTAATCAGAACAAACAGAAGAGTTTACATTTGGCTGCCAAAGTCCCGGAGATAAGTTCTGAAAAAGCAGCAGCTGGCGGTGACCATATTGAGCGCAATGTTTCACCCTAATCCTGGCTCTCCTATAAAGTTGACACACTGCAGGCTCTGCTTGCTGGACTACGGTGGGTGTTTCCAGATTAGGGGTTAGGGAGCATGGCTCTAAACCCACCTACAGTCACTATGTACCCATCCAGTTTAGATTATTTCTAGAGTAAGATAGGTGGAAGCTATAAAATGGGTCATGGCTCGCCAGGATAAAACAAATAAAACACAGATGACAGCAGTAAATTCTGTCATTTGGGCGAAGTGTGGAATTTGGCCCCGATTTATACATTGTACAAGCTCAGTCAGGTAATAGCAATGGCCTGGGTAGAGTTTTTAAAGTTAAGCTTCCTTTTTTCTGCTCAAAACTAACAGAAAATCGGCCCAACAAAAATACTGCCGTGTGACTATACCAGACCCAAAATGCTCTTCCATCCATTTCTTTCACAAGTGTTGTAATATAGTGTCACTTGCATACATTTAAAGCAAACTCTTGACTGAAACCACATTTACGCTTGGATTCTCTAATGTTTTCTGGTATTTCAAGCAAAGCCTGCTTGGGCCTTGCAGCGTGATGTACGCTGGTGGACTCCTGTCCCTGGCTTCCGGGGGTCGCCATGGGAGTGCACTCATGAACCTGCACTACAAGATCAGGGCTGTCAGTCATATGGGGCTAAAACTGAGAGCTGATGAAAGCAAATGCAGTTCCACTGAGCCCAGTACGTTACACCGGATTTGAATCTGACCCGTTGTACCAAGTTTTCTAAGATATGGTGGTTTTGGTTTTTTACAAGTCAGCACCACCCAGCTAAACTGTTAAAAAAAAAAAGTTATTAAGTACAGCAGCTATCACTTTGGGACAAAGTGATCCACAGTGAACGTGTGGCATCAGTGAAATAATTTAATGACCTAGAGGAGGAAACTTGCACAAAGGATGTGGAACAGTTATCCAGTATCAAGGGAAGGTAGAGGGAAAAGAGAGGAAAGGGATGGTCTGGTGATTAAGGTTCTGTCCTGGGATTTAGAGTCACAAATGGAACCCACATCTCCTGCCACAGACTTCATGTGTGACCTTGGGTAAATCACTTAAAGTAGCTGTACCTCACCTCCCTACTTCTATAATGGGGATAACACTTCCTTTCTCTCCCCATTTGTCTGTCTTGTCTATTCAGATTGTAAACTCTTCGGGACAGGGATTCTCTCTCCTTATGTGATGTAGTAGACTGGGGCCTTCAGGGGCTACTGGAATATAAATAAAAGGAGAGAAAGGATACAAAGAGACCTGGGATAAAAATGGGCAAATGGCCTCTGCAATTTAATGCAGGGGGCTGGGTTGGGGGAATGAAAGCTAAGAAAGTAAAGCTTGCCAGTCCAGAATGGCTAGTGTGTGATACGATCATAAACTGCAAGACACTGACTGGGAAAGAATCCGAGGGCAGGAGCAGACTGTAAAAACTTCAGCTCACTATTTTGGCAGCAGCCAGGACAGTAAACAGAACACAGGGATATAGGTCAGAGAGCACAGATCACTATGGCACTGTACGAAGGGCTAGAAAGTAAACCATCTAAGTGACAGAGACAACGATTCGTGTAGAAAACAAAACTCTGCGATTGGAGATGAGATGTCTAGACCTTAATGACATTCCTTGCCTGAATAAGGTGAGTGGGATTTGGCCTTGTGACAACAATGAAAGCGTTGGTCATTTTTGAGAACAATGTTTGACTTCTATTTTCTGGGCTGCAACTGGCTGACTCTTTTCTACTGCTCAATCCAAAGCCCACTAAGGTTGATCGAAAGACTCCTACTGACTACAGCGTGGTTGGGTTCAGGGCCCTAGCAAGAGTATTACAGCTCTTTATCTAGGAAGGGATCAAAGGCTGGTGGGTATTAATAAAGGTCATGACTAAGGTGTATATGGCTTCTTGTCAAGTACTAAGCTGCAGGGGTAATTCTTGCCAAATTCTGAACATCCAAGCTCTCTGTATACCTTATTACAGTGGCGTTGGAATGATTTTTATCGTGGGGGTGCGCAGAACCATTGAACAAAACTGTAAACCGTGTATACGATGGAAACCACTTCAACCCAAGGAATACTGCCACACCCCAAGCATTCATGCCTGAAATACCCTACTGCTTTGTAATCATAGAATAGAATATCAGGGTTGGAAGGGACCTCATCTAGTCCAACCCCCTGCTCAAAGCAGGACCAGTCCCCCATAGTTGCCCCAGATCCCTAAATGGCCCCCTCAAGGATTGAACTCACAACCCTGTGTTTAGCAGGCCAATGCTCAAACCACTGAGCTATCCCTCCCCCAAATGCTTCCATCCATCCATTCATTCATTTAGGGATGCAAGTTTTGGCTTCTCTGCATTGTATCTTCTCTGTATTTATCATTGGATTTGGCCCATTACAGAGTCTTAACTGACTTTTAGCAGGTCTTGTTTTCATGGTAAAAGCCACAAAACTGGCTCTAAAGTGTTTTTACTGGAAAAAAGCCATTCCCTGAAGACCTGTTCGTTTCATAAACCATATAACAGAATACAGGTCAACAGAACACCCCTGGAGAGGATGACCTTCCCTATGGACACATGGCAATGCAGATCAGTTATGTCAATCCAAACCTCACCACAAGTTTTACAAGTTCAAGAAATTCACAAGTTATTCCATGAAAAATAAATTACCTTGTACAAAATAATTTGTGGCACTCTCTCCTGAAGAACAAGGACTCCTTACTTTTGAGGCAACTTGAGCAAGTGCAATATTTGCACACCATGAAAAAGACACATTGTCAAAAGAATGTGTCTATCTTGCCAATAAGGTTCAGTCCAATCCACAAATACTGCATCTGGGATCTCTAAGGAGATTAAATGAGTCTAGAGTTTTGTAGGAACTGGATGAGCACTCGATAGACAAATTTGTACTGAGCGATGGTCTGAATCATAAACGTTCTCTGCTCCCGCAGGTGTCTCAGCATCACCGGAACATCCACTTTCTGGAAAGTGAAGGTGACAAAGATGTGAGTCTGTGTGTTAATTAAACCCAACATCACCAGAACCCTCCGTTGACTAAGTATAAGGAAAGAACAAAGATAACTCATTTATAGTGAATCACCACAGTTTGTTTTGGCCTTGCCTTCCGCATTATAGCAAGGAATATACATATATATTATACACACAATATGAAAGGATACCAAGGTTCCAATCCTGCTTCCACGGAAGTCAGTGGTAATTTTAACATAAACATCAATGGGTTTAACATTGAACACCTGGTGTCTTCCAGCTATGTATCACTGTTACCTCATACAGTACCACTAATTGAATGTGTAGTAAAAGGTTATTAAGGAAACTGAGCAATCTCTTAAAATCCTACCTGGAGGCTTCTTGTTAAATATAGCCACACTCAGCTTGTCAAAAATTAACCAATTTTGTCACATTACCTGACAAATCATATGCTGGGAAAATGGAGAATTTCAATAATCAAAATTTAATTTCTTGGGTCAGCTCCCCTCTGCCATCCACTGTGCATGCAGGCATGGTAGCCATTTGCACTCTGATTCATGGTCAATTTTACTTATAGAGGAAGGACATTAAGGTTCTACAAATCAGGGGAAGCAATCAATAGTCCAAACAACATTGGGTTCCTGCCAGAACAGAAGGTTTGGCAAATATATCATGACAGTATGATGCAGCTATTGCTCCCTCTTTTCAGGCCACCCAATTCCTCGCCAAAAAAGAGGAAAGTCACTAGCAACATCCACAAGACCCAGAAACTTGACACTTGACAGAGATGCTCTGACCTTCTTTAATTGTCAAAGCCAGGACATGAACCAGATTGTGTGAAACACAGAGAGGCTTGCAAGATGAAGCATTAGAATTCACTAGAAAATATATGAAGCATTAGCATTGTATTGCCTGCATTGAGAGAGCAAAAGAAGAAAAAACAACGTAGGTAACTTGTTAGAACAGGTATGTGAGGAGTAGTTCAAAAATCATTGAGCTACAGCTCTCAAAACTACCAAGGCCCAAATTGAGGGACCAAAATACTATTCACACAGGAAACTTAAAGACCTGAGGAATTCATTCCTTTGGTGTAAATAATTCTTTCCATAACCTCAAGTTCATAATTTCTGATGTAAACTATTTTCATTAACAAACGGGGGAGGGGGAAGCATCAAATTTGGGTGGAATGTGGATGATTTTGGGAATAAAACTAACAAGAATCCTCAAGAAGACAACAGCCAAGAGGTTTGCATTCAACCTCCACATTACTATGGACCCTGTTCCAGGTTCCTGGAACAACAGTTGTGTGTGGTCTCTTACATGCCGAAAGAGGAAAACCCATGTCTCGCTAAAGCAATGCTATACTATACTTTTCATTCCAGAAGCACAAGTTGGAACTAACAAAATCTTTTGGCTGAAGTCAGCAGCATTATGAGAATGAGGTTAAGGCAAAGGGACAGGGATATAACTGGTTCGGCCTTTAGCCACCAGAGGCTTTCTGTATTAGGAAACATTTGTGGTTTCCATGCATTATGGGACTTGTTTCTAGAAAGTGAAAATTATTTAAAAAATAATTTTCACTTTCTCATTTACATTTCTGTGCCTTTACGTAAAACGATGGAGGCCCCTAGTTTTAATTAAATAAGCCCAAACTGACATGATCACCAATGTTCCCGCTACAATTTGTGTATGTTTGTTTTGTACTGAGCAGGTTACAACATGCACTGGACACTATATTTTTGTCCTTAGGCAAAGCTCACACTTGAGGTGAGGGATGTGTATGGGAGGTTTGTGTGGGTATGTGCAGGGGGGCTGTGTGTGTGGTGAGCGGTGTGCAAAGAGGGCATTGTGTGCGTGCATGGGTGCACGTGTGAGTACACTGCAGAGCCCAGTCAGGCCCCTCACCAAAGCTCCTGCACAAGGGGCACCCCGGAGCTGCAACTGCCTCCTCCAAGCTAGCGTATCCCTGAGATCAGAGGCGATTCCACTCTCCCAGCGGCGGGCCTGCACATGTTCTGTCATGGGCGGGACGGGGGCGAGCAAAACAGGTTCCTAAAGGGCTACACCACATCCCTGCTGGAGCCACCACAGAGAAGAGGAGAGTGGCAGAACCTATATACAAGATTGCTGCACGGCTGTGCAGTTTACAGGGAACACCAGTGATCACAACTTTAAACGTGGAGCTATATTTATGCCATTCCACAAATGAGCTGTTACAGGAGACATGGATGCCAGTTTTGGTTAGACGTATTCCTGGACGTTTCATCACATGACAATCCTGGAGGGTTGGCAACTGGAGGGTAGTTATAGATGGCCCATAAGTACCAAGAAGGGTAGAAATGGTGATGAGGATTTTCATTTTATTTTCAAATCTGTGTAGATGAGAGCATAAGCTCCTGTTTTGGGTTTACACAACTAAACCACAGAATGCCTCAGCATGGAATTTGATGGTTAGAAAAGCAATTAGGTCATGTTGAGCCAAGCCATGTCAGAACTTGCCTGAACAACGACAAGACCAAAAAAAAAAAAAGGCAGCAAGCCAGTTTGAGCCTGCACAACCCAAATTCCAGGCTCAGCATTTGACAGTTTGTTGATTTCTACTAGGCCAACAACATTTGGTAATCAGTCACTTTCTGTGTCATCACAACACGGGTCAGGCTTTGATTAATCTCAGAGCTATTTTGTGTGTGTGTAACACTAAGCCTATCACACACATGTAACTTCTATATTTATAGTCAGCCTTACAAGGATGTACAACAGGCCATCCCCGATCTATCTCAGGAGAGCTTACTTAACCACTTTATTCCAGGAATGGGGGAATCTTTGGATTCAAAAGCCACCAGAGTGTATCTGTCAACAAGAGATTAATAATGCTTAATAAAAGGTGATATTTAGTAAGATACAAAATTAAAACAATTACTAACTTTGCCTTCCATACTACAAACATCTTTCTCACATAAGGGGCACTTCAGCAAGGATCACTCGTTCATGTTAGGGTGCCAGGTCAGTGCTAGATTCAGGTATACTGGGATCTGACTTTTCTGATGACTATAGTACAATGTGTCTAGAAACTGTGCATTGTTGATTTGAAAGGTTACTGTCTATAGAGTAAGACATGAAAAGTCCACACTCTCAGCGGTAGTGAGAACTACAGGCTATGTTCCACCAGCAAAAGCATAGAAGCTACAGGTAAAAAAGCTGCAGAGCAATTGATAATATTGTAGTTAAAGCTCAGAGCCGAGAAACAAGAGATCTGGTTTTATTACCAGCGCTCCCACCAACTTCCTGTATGACCACTGGCAAGATGGTTAATCTGTGTGTGTTAGTTTCCTCATCTGGAAAATGGGGATAACAACTTATCTATTTACCAGGCGGGTTGTGAGAAATTCCGTAATTCCCAAGGCTGCAAAGCGTTTTAAGGGGGTATTGTATGGAGTGTAAAGAAACTGGCAGTTTTATTTCTGAGCCAATAGAAATAATTCTGTTGCAAAATAAATAGGAAAAAAGCACAGGTCATTTACAATAGGGGTAATGTTCTTGTATATGAAAAAAGTTTTTATCCCTACAGTATGTGATGATCACCATAAGTATCCATCCTGATTCTCTTGAAAACACATAGCTCAACTGGGGGGGGGGGGAACACCCTAAAAACTGAACTACTCATTTACTGTAAATCTGTTTAAACCCATTTTCTTGAGCTACAAAGTCTTGAAGAAAAAAACACACTAAAAAACTGGCATTAATATGTCGCCATTAATTATGCCAATACTCAGGAGAAAGGGGAGTTTGATTAAAGTCAACAGAGATGCTCCCCGCTGTCAAGAGCTCTATATTCGCTGAGTGCTTTGCTGAGCATTCCTCAGAGCCCTAAGAACCGTCCCCTGCCCCCAACGTATTATGGGCTCCATCACCAAAGGCTCAGACTCACGCCAAATCGTTCTTCTCACAGAAGAACTGGCTCCCTCTGTAAGCCAAAGACACACCAAGATGGCCAGAAGGGTTGCATGATTGTTATTTAATATTTGTCCACAGCAGCACTAGTATGAGGGATTTCTATAGAGTGATATGAAATGCCTCTTCACGACAAACGACTGAGCACACTATCATCTCTGCAGCACTCCCAGCCTTCAGCTAGCTCAAGAGCCATGAGTCAAACCTCAGCTTGAATCCCTCTCTCTGGGAGGGTGTAGGGGAAAAGGATTAAGGAGGAGTGAGGCTGAAACGAGATCAGTGCAAAGTTAAACCAAAAAAAAAAATGTTTAAATTGTGCTATGAAAATAAATTCATCCTTAGTGTCACTCAGTTGCGGTCAGAGCAGTTACAGTAGGGCTGAATTTATTCCAGTACCTCTAAATGATCACCCTGCAACTACTGTGTGGTATACTCTGCAGTACCACACAGCCAGGCATTTCCTTTTATTTTGGTTAACTAGCCAGCAATTACCAGCCTTTGGAAGATTTTGGGAATGCGGGGGAGAGAGAGAGAAAGGTACATCATCAGTGCTGAACAAATGATGAGGAGAAAAGTCCACTGGCACCAATAGGCACACATTCTTAAGCGATAGCATTTTTTCACTTCTCACCCCTCCACACATGGGTATCAGATTCTCTATTTCAACAAATAGATAAGGGATTGCTGTGGGGTACAGGTGAAACCATGATGATGTGTGTCTATTTGTAACATCTGCTGCATTCTTTCACCTTTAATATCTATACAAGGCATTAAAGTCTTCCAGCAGTTCACTTGATGAAGGAAGCCCCTACATTTCAATAGCTGTTTTCCTAAGGTTGGCATTGTACACCAACATCATATTTTTCTTCAGGACGTAGTGTTTTTGCTGCACTGTTCCCCAATGACAAAGAACATAGCAGAACAACAAGTCGTTACACACTGTAACTTTTATGTTGTTGATAGTCTGTTAGAGTGCCAGCCTGCGTAATAGGTCTCATAATACTGGCTGTGGCCCGTCAACCTTTTTTTCCTGTTATTTTTGAGTCGCAGCTGAGCTTTGTTCCAGTCTAGAAGCCAAAGACAATGAATGTGAGAGAGGGAGAGAGAACGAGAACATGCTGAAGACAGAAGCTAGAGAACTAAATCAATAGCTCAAACCAGTTTGGAAGCCAGCACACTTCTCCAACAGCTCTCAAGCTGCTCTTTTACATAGTTCTGTCTCCAGATTGACTAATTAAGACACAGGTACTGACCCATCTTAAATTAGATTGTAAACTCTTTGGGGCAAGTGTCCTATCTCTGCAGTGCTATATTAAAATAATAAAAATAAAAACCAACAATACCTACAAAATAGTCAAGGTACACACGGTAGCTGGTGACAAATCTCTGTCCACTGTGTCTGGGTACACTAACACAATGAGATAGATGATATTTTATGACTAGATTCCCCCAACACAAATGTAGTAAATGACTCAGTGGACCAGCTAAGAGAAAAGCAATTATTAAGGGGGAAGTTTACTTACTTCATTATGTTCCAAGCAGCCAATCATCAGTTCTGTTAGGATAACCACCCCTGTCCTCCCCACACCTGCACTGCAGTGAACCACAATTGGCGGGTTGCAATTGTTGCTAGCATCCAACACACTGTTGGTATGGCGACGTACTGACTGTATCTCCTCCAAATAGGCTGTAAGATAAAATGCAAATTATGCTGTAAAATCCTGTATGGCTTCACATAAAAGTTGAAAAATTGATGAGAAAGTCAGTTTTCTTTTTAAGTGACAATAATTTACAGTTCCTACAAGACACTAATTATTTGGCCACTGTGCACTGAGCAGCACTGAATCCAGCGAGTACCAGCTGGGTTTCAATTATTACTTGGGAGTTTGGTCCCTTAAATTAAATAGTTCTTTTAAAAAAATTAAATTCTGTTTTCCCCTCTGCAAATCCCCAGTTCCCCAAAGCAGATGATTCTAGACATTACTTACAGCAATTCCTGCTATTAACAGGCTGGGATCAAAAACAACAGCTAAGTCCCCTTGAAAGTACCGCCTGCCAGAGCCAGTAGCGGATGGGAAGTGAGCATCCATCTGCCCTTTTCTTTCCTTCCCTTGTAGACTGAGTGAGAATGTCAACCAGGTCTCTACTTTTTTGTTTGTTTTTCAGCAGGTATTAGGATTTTTTTTGGACACAGTTCTCTGTGGCTTTCCTGTAATCACTACTGCAAAGTGTAAGGATCTCAGAAAGTCCTCTTGTCTAGCTCTAACGCTCTCCAAAATAGTGGTTTTTTGCTTATTAAAAGTATAAACATTTCAGATATCCCAGTGGCTCAGATGGTTGGGTAAACACAATGCAAACTAGGACACTCAGGTTCTGACCAGGGTATGGGTCTCTCCCACGATTATTCCAGCAGGAATTGTATGACCCGCAGAAATGAAGTCTCTGGACCTAATTCACCATTACATTGCACCCTGTGGAGTCCTTCCCACCTGTGCAAACTGGGTGTAAAATGCCATCAGAATCAGAAAGGTGGCATTTTACACCTACTTTGCACAAGTGGAAGTGATTCCATTAGGTGTACAGCAGTGGTGAACCATGACTCTGTATCCAGCTGTGTCTATGGACAGCTGGATTCCAATTTTTACAACTTCCCAATTGCTGCGGTTGAATGTTGGAAGACTGTCCTTTCAAAAAAGAAGCTTGGAAATACAATGAGAAATAGAGTAGCCCAACTTAAAGTGGTGGCTGAAAACTCCATTACTAACCCATAATACCCTGAGTCACTTCTTTGGCAAAGCTGAAAATTCTATTTGCGTATTATTCCCTCCAGTTGTAAAGTTAAATAAAAGGGGTGTGCATTCCTTAGGGTCATTACGGTAGCATTACTAGTGTATTAAGTGTTTATTAGTAATAAAGTAGTAAGGAACAGTACTGAATTAATAAAAGTCAATACAACGGTTGAGAATTTTTCCTCTCACCCAAGCCTCCCACACTTCAACTATGTACAGCCCGATAATTAAAACACTTCCTAGGCAGGTAGGGAGTTAAGATTACTGCCCCCGACTGACGAACAATTAGGCATATCCTATTATTTTTATGACCCTACCTCCCCTATCTGATCTCCTTGGCTGGCCAAGCTTGTGAAGGCCTTACACTCAACTTGATGATATTTCTGTATTTGTCTGTCTATATGTAACACAATAACTTTTGAACGCCACATCCAGTCAATTCCAAAATGTCAGGGAACGTTCTATGCACCCATGGCTAGAACCCCATTGATTTTGGAGAAAAATGGAGAACTGACAGAGGGAAAAATGGGGGATACATACAGATCAAATATTTGATGGCAGCCATTAACACCTTCCAACATAATAATACTCTATCTCATCTCTGCTCATTCTCCCAGTAGAGTTAAACATATTGACACCCTAAGTGACTTATCTCCCAGATAAACAACAATGGGGAGCATGGGAAATGGGGGTCCTTGATATGGAGGAGGGAGGAAGTGAGGACACAGAACCTCTGGTCGGGGAGAACTGAGGACCATATTCGAAAGACAGGGGACACACACAGCCCCTAGCAGGGGAAGAAAGGGGTAGACAGAGCCCTGGGGAAAGGGAAAATATGGGGGAGGGGGTGCACACAGAGTGCCTGCCTTGAGGGAAAGAATGGGGGGCCCTGGAATGAGAAGGACACACAAACCCTGGGATGGGGGTGAAGTGGAAATGGAGGGGAAAGGAGCACACAAAGCCACTGGCAGTGGGGAGAAGGGGGGAAGTTACAGGGAGCCCCTGAAATACAGGGAGCTTGGAGGATGGCATATAGGGAGCTTATCGGCTGGAATAGAGGGAAGCCAGGAGCCCCTGGCATGTGCAATGAGTTCGACTGACAGAAGCTATAAAGCGTGCAATGCTCCCTTGGTTCTTAAAAATGTTCATGGACCATAAATGTGTGCATTAATTAAGGAATCTTACATAAAAATCCTTGGACTTCTTCTGGGCAACCATGATCAGGCCAGTCAGTATATTGCAAGTGCCACACTGTCCTCTCCTGCCCAGACAAAAGATGCTTGACCTTCAGCCCCGTAGTAGCATAGCATCCAGAATCCGTGCGGAACTTAGTTGTCACCTTAAACTTCCCATACGTGGTTGAGCTGTGCTTAGAGCCAAGTTTAGGCCAGTAGCGATGACTCTTGCTTCTTCCTCCTTCCTGAACCACAAAAAGCAAAATTAAAATGATTCTTCTTGTAGTGTCGCAATTATAATTCTCACAAACAGAACCACTTGTTCAGCTAAACTGGGTATTTCTATTTATCTTCTCTTGTAAGAGAAGAACAAGGGGCTTCCCAAGAAACTGAATGGCATTAAATGTAAAATGCCACATTTTACAAAACATATATTTAACCTGTGGAACCTCAATGCCACAAAATATCATTTAGTCCAAGAGTTTAGAAAGCTCACAGCAGGCCCGCCGACAGGGGTAGGCAAAGGGGGCAATTGCCCAGGGGTCCGGGCAATTTAAAAAGGGCCCAGGAGCCCCTGGCCCTTTTAAATCATACAGGCAGGCTGCAGGGCTACTAGGCACACATGACCACTGTGAGCCCCACGCTTTGGGGAGCCCCGCGGGCCAGCGCGATTGGCCACAGCGGTCGGTCCTGGATGTGACGGATTCATCACCCGGAATTGCTGTCGACAGGCCTGCATTAAAGAGACTAAAAAAAAAAACCTAAGGAAAAAACTCTCATCCTTCAGGGCATACGTCAACTTCTGACTGCAATAGGTGAGGAAGAAACTTCCCCATAGGTAGGTTATTTCATAACTGTCCATTAAAAGGATTTGTCTCTCTAACCTCTGACAATCTGATACTGGTTTATGTCAGAGATGCGAAAGTGGACTAGACAGAACACTGGACTAATGTGGTATTTTAATTCCTATGTTCTGATAAGGCAGGAGGGTTCAAAGCTGGATGTAGTGTTAGCAACGTGTGCCAGTTTTTATAACATAGCACACAGTTCTTGGATTACAATAAAAATAATTGTTTTGCTTGGCATAGGAATAAAAAGGTTTTTTTTAAATGGACACTTCTCCAGGAACAACAGCTTCTGGTCCCTTTTCAGCGATAAGGATGACAGTATGCAGAACTGGCCTTGGATGGGCTGGGAATAAATGTCTTTTTAACCAAGAGCAGTTCAGGGTACTCATTCCAATGGAAACATTTTTGCTTTGTTTGGCAAACCAAAGTCTTACAACTGAACTAAAGCTTGGAGGTTGTTGTTTTTTATTTTAGTAAATGACAAGCTAAATACTAGAGAGCTATAAAACACAAGGTCACAGCAGTAGATTATCTCCAGGCACGTGTTCAAGGGGAATAAAAGGAGAAAATAAAAGGGCTGCTAAAGAAAAACAGATTATTGGAATGGGAAGCAGTGACAATGGTAGAGCTGCTCACATTCAGAAAGAATTGCTCTATGTAATTTTACGTACCTCTTCAGCTGTGACCATGGCTATAACATTCACCCCCTGCTCCCACACCATCTGCCAGAAGTCATGGCATGTGTGTGGCAAAGGTCCTTGTGTGGCTATATAGTGCCATTCCTCCCCACCTACAGTAACCTAGGAGTCAGGAAAAAAATACAGTTAATGCCAGAGTTTTCTGCAGTGCCTGTGCTAATACTATTTTTAAACGTAAATGAAGATTATAAAACCTTTTACTCTTAAGTTTCCACACTAATCCATCCTACAATTACAGCAAATCAGCAAAAAATTAACCTTGGGTGCATACAACTCCTCTCTTATCACCGTGAGCACAAGGGCCTGAGCAAACAAAAAAACAGCCACAAGATTTTATACAGCTGGCATGTTAAACACAGACATCCGCAGGGCCAGTTTACAGCAGGGACCAAAAAGCAAGTTTTAGAGAAGCCAGAAAAACGGTTGTTCTTTGAGATGTGTTGCTCATGTCTATTCCATTCTAGGTGGGTTCATGCCCACGTGCACAGTCGTTGGAGATTTGTGCCTTAGCAGTATTTGTAGGGTCGGCTGTAGCATCCCTTGAGCTTATGAGTTGGTATATTAGGCGCCGTCGACCCTACACGCTCTCAGTTTCTTCTTGCCGGCAACTCCAACAGAGGGGTAGGAGGGTGGGTAATAGAATGGACATGAGTAACATCTCGAAAAACAACAGTTATGAAAAGTTAGGTAACTGTTTTTTCTTCTTCAAGTGCTTGCTCATGGCGATTCCATTCTAGGTGACTCACAAGCAGTATCCTCTGAGGTGGGCTCGGAGTTCACAGTCTAGCAGCGTGCAGCACTGCTTTACCAAAGCCAGCATCATAAGAACATAAGAATGGCCATACTGAGTCAGACCAAAGGTCCATCCAGCCCAGTATCCTGTCTACCGACAGTGGCCAATATCAGGTGCCCCAAAGGGAGTAAACCGAACAGGTAATGATCAGTGATCTCTCCTGACATCAATCTCCACCCTCTGACAAACAGAGGCTAGGGACACCATTCCTTACCCATCCTGGCTAACAGGCATTAATGGACTTAGCCTCCATGAATTTATCCAGTTCTCTTTTAAATCCTGTTATAGTCCTAGCCTTCACAACCTCCTCAGGCAAGGAGTTCCACAGGTTGACTGTGCACTGTGTGAAGAAGAACTTCCTTTTATTTGTTTTAAACCTGCTGCCCATTAATTTCATTTGGTGGCCCCTAGTTTTTATATTATGGGAACAAGTAAATAACTTTTCCTTATTCACCTTCTCCACACCACTCATGATTTTATATACCTCTATCATAACCCCCTTAGTCTCCTCCAAGCTGAAAAGTCCTAGCCTCTTTAATCTCTCATATGGGACCTGTTCCAAACCCCTTGTCATTTTAGTTGCCCTTCTCTGAACCTTTTCTAATGCCAGTATATCTTTTTTGAGATGAGGGGACCACATCTGTACGCAATATTCAAGATGTGGGTGTACCATGGATTTATATACGGGCAATACAATATTCTCCGTTTTATTCTCTATCCCTTTTTTAATGATTCCTAGCATCCCATTTGCTTTTTTGACTGCCGCTGCACACTGTGTGGATATCTTCAGAGAACTACCCATGATGACTCCAAGATCTTTCTCCTGATTTGTTGTAGCTAAATTAGCCCCCATCATATTGTATGTATAGTTAGTTATTTTTTCCAGTGTGCATTACATTATCTATCTTCCAGTCATTGGGTACAGTAGCTGATTTAAAGGACAGGTTACAAACCATAGTTAATAGTTCCGCAATTTCACATTTGAGTTCTTTCAGAACTCTTGGGTGAAAGCCATCTGGTCCCGGTGACTTGTTACAGTTAAGTTTCTCAATTAATTCCAAAACCTCCTCTAGTGACACTTCAATCTGTGACAATTCCTCAGATTTGTCACCTACAAAAGATGGCTCAGGTTTGGGAATCTCCCTAACATCGTCAGCCGTGAAGACTGAAGCAAAGAATTCGTTTACCTTCTCTGCAATGACTTTATCATCTTTAAGTGCTCCTTTTGTAACTCAATCGTCCTGGGGCCCCACTGGTTGGTTAGCAGGCTTCCTGCTTCTGATGTACTTAAAAAACATTTTGTTATTACCATCGTGCCAGGCCTGCTGGGTCAGCACGTAATGGGACGTGAAAGTGTGGACAGACAATTGGTCACCACCCTACAGATGTCCTAGATAGGTGATCTGTGATGTTGATGTGTAGGGAATGATCGTGACTCGATCAACGACCTTGAGTGCTGAGGTTGACCAGGTGGGCTCCCCACCCCAGGTCCGAGGCATCGGAGATCATAGAATCATAGAATATCAGGGTTGGAAGGGACCTCAGGAGGTCATCTAGTCCAACCCCCTGCTCAAAGCAGGACCAATCCCCAATTAAATCATCCCAGCCAGGACTTTGTCAAGCCTGACCTTAAAAACTTCTAAGGAAGGAGATTCTACCATCTCCCTAGGTAACGCATTCCAGTGTTTCACCACCCTCCTAGTGAAAAAGTTTTTCCTAATATCCAACCTAAACCTCCCCCACTGCAACTTGAGACCATTACTCCTTGTCCTGTCCTCTTCTACCACTGAGAATAGTCTAGAACCATCCTCTCTGGAACCACCTCTCAGGTAGTTGAAAGCAGCTATCAAATCCCCCCTCATTCTTCTCTTCTGCAGACTAAACAATCCCAGTTCCCTCAGCCTCTCCTCATAAGTCATGTGTTCAACCCCTAATCATTTTTGTTGCCCTTCGCTGGACTCTCTCCAATTTATCCACATCCTTCTTGTAGTGTGGGGCCCAAAACTGGACACAGTACTACAGATGAGGCCTCACCAATGTCGAATAGAGGGGGACGATCGCGTCCCTCGATCTGCTCGCTATGTCCCTACTTATACATCCCAAAATGCCATTGGCCTTCTTGGCAACAAGAGCACACTGCTGACTCATATCCAGCTTCTCGTCCACTGTCACCCCTAGGTCCTTTTCTGCAGAACTGCTGCCTAGCCATTCGGTCCCTAGTCTGTAGCTGTGCATTGGGTTCTTCCGTCCTAAGTGCAGGACCCTGCGCTTATCCTTATTGAACCTCATCAGATTTCTTTTGGCCCAATCCTCCAATTTGTCTAGGTCCCTCTGTATCCTATCCTTGCCCTCCAGTGTATCTACCACTCCTCCCAGTTTAGTATCATCCGCAAATTTGCTGAGAGTGCAATCTACACCATCCTCCAGATCATTTATGAAGATATTGAACAAAACCGGCCCCAGGACCGACCCCTGGGGCACTCCACTTGACACCGGCTGCCAACTAGACATGGAGCTATTGATCACTACCCGTTGAGCCCGACAACCTAGCCAACTTTCTACCCACCTTATAGTGCATTCATCCAGCCCATACTTCTTTAACTTGCTGACAAGAATACTGTGGGAGACCGTGTCAAAAGCTTTGCTAAAGTCAAGAAACAATACATCCACTGCTTTCCCTTCATCCACAGAACCAGTAAACTCATCATAGAAGGCGATTAGATTAGTCAGGCATGACCTTCCCTTGGTGAATCCATGCTGACTGTTCCTGATCACTTTCTTCTCGTCTAAGTGCTTCAGGATTGATTCTTTGAGGACCTGCTCCATGATTTTTCCGAGGACTGAGGTTAGGCTGACTGGCCTGTAGTTCCCAGGATCCTCCTTCTCCCTTTTTTAAAGATTGGCACTACATTAGCCTTTTTCCAGTCATCTGGGACTTCCCCCGTTCGCCACGAGTTTTCAAAGATAATGGCCAATGGCTCTGCAATCACAGCCGCCAATTCCTTTAGCGCTCTCGGATGCAACTCGTCCGGCCCCATGGACTTGTGCACGTCCAGCTTTTCTAAATAGTCCCTAACCACCTCTATCTCCACAGAGGGCTGGCCATCTATTCCCCATGTTGTGATGCCCAGCGCAGCAGTCTGGGAGCTGACCTTGTTCGTGAAGACAGAGGCAAAAAAAGCATTGAGTACATTAGCTTTTTCCACATCCTCCGTCACTAGGTTGCCTCCCTCATTCAGTAAGGGGCCCACACTTTCCTTGGCTTTCTTCTTGTTGCTAACATACATGAAGAAACCCTTCTTGTTACTCTTGATATCTCTTGCTAGCTGCAGCTCCAGGTGTGATTTGGCCCTCCTGATTTCATTCCTACATGCCTGAGCAATACTTTTATACTCTTCCCTGGTCATATGTCCAACCTTCCACTTCTTGTAAGCTTCTTTTTTATGTTTAAGATCCACTAGGATTTCACCGTTAAGCCAAGCTGGTCGCCTGCCATATTTACTATTCTTTCGACTCATCGGGATGGTTTGTCCCTGTAACCTCAACAGGGATTCCTTGAAATTCAGCCAGCTCTCCTGGACTCCTTTCCCCTTCATGTTAGTCCCCCAGGGGATCCTACCCATCCGTTCCCTGAGGGAGTCGAAGTCTGCTTTCCTGAAGTTCAGGGTCCGTATCCTGCTGCTTACCTTTCTTCCCTGTGTCAGAATCCTGAACTCAACCAACTCATGGTCACTGCCTCCTAGATTCCCGTCCACTTTTGCTTCCCCCACTAATTCGGTTTGTGAGCAGCAGGTCAAGAAAAGCTCCCCCCCAGTTGGATCCTCTAGCACTTGCACCAGGAAATTGTCCACTACGCTTTCCAAAAACTTCCTGGATTGTCTATGCACCGCTGTATTGCTCTCCCAGCAGATATCAGGAAAATTAAAGTCACCCATGAGAACCAGGGCATGTGATCTAGTAGCTTCTGCGAGCTGCCGGAAGAAAGCCTCATCCACCTCATCCCCCTGGTCCGGTGGTCTATGGCAGACTCCCACCACTACATCACTCTTGTTGCTCACACTTCTAAACTTAATCCAGAGACACTCAGGTTTTTCTGCAGTTTCGTACCGGAGCTCTGAGCAGTCATACTGCTCCCTTACATACAGTGCTACTCCCCCACCTTTTCTGCCCTGCCTGTCCTTCCTGAACAGTTTATAACCATCCATGACAGTACTCCAGTCATGTGAGTTATCCCACCAAGTCTCTGTTATTCCAATCACGTCATAATTCCTTGACATCACCAGGACCTCCAGTTCTCCCTACTTGTTTC